ATCATGGGAAATTATTTTATAGGCAATTCATCCAGAAAGCAAACCAGGCCATTTCTTGCTTACTAAAGACGTAAAGTGAAATTCTTGAAAAATAACTCATTTACCCACCAGTTATAGCCATGATGTCTTTACTGTTTCTTTGTCCCTTGGCGACATCTTAACCTTTCCATGATGTCAGAAACAAAGGATTATGACTTTAAATGGGGAAGAACCAGCTGGAGAAAATGAAGTTGTTCAAATAAGATTACAAATCTTGGGACTGAATACAAAGACAAACACACCCACAGCAGCACAGGTTACTGATTCAAGGTCTCAGAAACACACCGTCAGTCTCACTGGGCCAGGCTGGATTGCTCTAAAATCCTGCCTTGTGTGGCTCTTGAAGAACCGCTTAGCACATTGCTTGGTGTCAACACTCTCCTCCCTGGCAGCATATTTTTGAGAGTCTGCTTGGCTGTACTTAGATTTTTTTTAGGTTCAATGAAGATTCTGTGGTGTCTGTCATCTTGGAGTTAAGTGACTCATCCCTGCCTCTTTTGGCTGGGGAGGGAAGCAGTTCTGGTTACCCTCCCAGACCCTTCCCAGCTCCCAAGTGTTGGAGGTGAGATCTGGAATCAAGAGTGTCCCTGAGCGAGTGTTTTATTAGCTCAGTGCCTTATAGGGCTGCTCAGGAGAGTGAAAAGCACACGGAAAAGTTGAAGCTCTAACACTGGAAAACAGCACAAGGCATCGTGGTGGGTACAGCATCAAGAAACACCGAGCTGGGGATGGTCTGTCTTCTTCCACTGAAATCCCCTGCAAGGGATGAGCTTCAGATCCCTGCACCTACTGACTTCACACACAGTCAATTTCCCTGCGAGCTCACCTCTGTTCCTTACTGAGCACCCACTATGTGTCAGGCAGAAGGACATGAGACACCGGTGAAATCACCCCACAAATCCACAAACTGTGCCCTAATGGAGATACTTCTCAAGGCTTCAGACAGAAGGAGCCAAGTGCCTCCAGCAGAAAGTTTAAGAAACAAAATAAATCAAGCTGCAGAGGACAGTTTACATTACTTTTTTTCTCTCTGACTTAATTTTTCCACTTGGAAAATAGACATGATTTCTGCTGCTCATTGGTGTTGACTGATTTTCACTAAATTTAGTAGATGGCACTTTATGTTTATTTATAGGGCCAGTCTGGCATCTTAAAAACCAACAGGAGTGGTAAAAACTTTTAAATGAATCTATGTTCTGTGATTATGCTTCATAAAACATTAGTGGGATGATATAAAGCATTCCTATTAACAAAACCAAAAACTCAATTTTCTCTACTAATGAAACAAAAGTGACCCCAAACAGCAATGAACTAAAAACGCTCTTTCGATTTGACACTGTAGTACACCAGCAGGCAGGAGCGCTCAGAAATAAGGAGCATGGGCCTTGAAGTCAGCCTGGTTTGAACATGGCTCCATGCGTGCTTGGGAATGAGATTATGTTTCCTCACCTGTGAGTGGGGAGAGCAACCACACCTGCCCCAGGGCTGTTGCAGGATAAAGAAGTGGCACAGCATAACTGCAGAGCATGCTGGCACAGCAGTCTTGTCACGTGCTGCTGAGGCAAACGGCTGCCCTTCCTCTGCATTCCCCGAGTGAACTGAGGCGCAGAGTTGAGGAAATCAGCCTGGGAGGACTGTGTTAAGATAAATGCACATACACAGAATCCTGATCCTTCTAATAACTACTCCTGGACATACTGACTCAGAGTAACTCTTGTTATGCTGCTGGAATCTCTCATTTTTCAGAATCCCAATACCTGGATCTCAGCTTCCATGCTTCTAATCCTTAATCTTTACAAATGAAGTCAGAAGTCAAGGCAATTCAACATAAGACAGAGAAGCAAGATTAGCCAAATAGGTTGAAGTTTTAGGTGGGGCAAGATATTGATGACAGAAAAACGGTGATACAGGTTTTCTATTGGGAGGGATTGTGAGAAGGGCCTGAGAGAAAACCAGAACGTACATTTGATTCAGTGTCCTAATGGAACCAGTGTGGAACGAGAGAGTCAGAGAGACCTAGTGATGCACATTGCCAGTCTGGCAACCCAGATCTCAACCCAGTCTCCTCACCCAGAGTTCAATAACACATGTGACACCCCAGGATTCGCTGGCTTTTCGAAGAGTAGCTTATATATATTACTCTGAAGATAGGGCTGCTGTGATCAGGAACACTGCTTCTCTGTGTGTACTGTAACAGCATCCCACCAGCTCGCTCATCTGCCCACCGGCTCACAAGTGCCTACTGTGTGTCAGGCATTGTGGTGGACACCAAGGCACAGTGCTAGAGTTCTGTGACTATCAAGGATAATGTTAATAATACGTACTTTAGTCCTCGCTGCACAACAAAATGACAGGATAAATTAAAGACCGGAGTTAAAATCCGAAGTTTTTTATTATTTGTGGGGAAGGCATGTGTGTGGGGGTGGGTACATGCATAATGCCCAATTTAATAAGCCATCCGAAGGCAGGGAGCACAGAGTCGAGGCTCTGCAAAGCACACCTCCACCACTGCTATTTACTTAATGAATACTCCTGGGCACTCTTTAAATTGAAAGATGGTTCATTAGATTTGTGCATCTGCCCTTCTCAGCAATCTGTTGTGTTTCTGATGCAGGCAGGAAAAAACACGAGCATATCATTTTCGGGTATGTTATGAGTAACTCAGCTTCCAATGATTACAAAGTCATAAAGGGCTCAGGCTGCCTAATTTCAGGAAAACAATTTGTCTGCATCGTTCTCTTTCCATTCCTATCTCATTCTATTCTCACTTAATCTTGGAAATTTCAAGTACTAGCCTGTTTTTTTTAAAGAAACTAATCACCCAATACATTATCTGCAAACCATAAAAATAAACATGTTTTGAAGGTATCAAAATATAAGTCCTTTCAAAAATGACTAAAAAAAGAAAAAAATCAGCTCTTGCTTGAAGTTTTTCCTTTTGTCCCAATCAAGTTAATCACTACCTGCTCTGGCTTTGATCCCACCTTATAAATCCATCTACTGTCCTTGGGGCTGGTTAGCTGTACTATATAGACTACACACACACTCTTGGAGGGTGAAAAAAATAACTTCAAAAAAAAAATCTTTGTCTCTCTCAGTATTTGCTACATAGGAGATGCTAATAAAAGTGCTGAACTAAATAATCAAAGATAGATTTCCCTACACAGGGCCTTAAACTATTAAAACTAGACTCATAGACTCACTCAACTGTCACCCCTTCACAAACATTTTTTTGGGGCCTACTGGGCTTTGGCACTACATGAATGAAAACTAGGACATGAACAGGAATACAAAGATGTTCCTGCCCTCGTGGAGCTTGGGCTCAGCTGAGGTGAGACAGAGGCTGTCCCTGGATGTATTCCTGAGACAAGGTTCTAAAAGGTCCTTTCACTTCTCTTATGGAGAAGGTTGATACACACACACACACGCACACACACACAAATTTTTAATGTCATAGTGGTATTTCTCTCTGAAATCACAGTCTCGACCAAAGCAGTGCCAAGAAACCTTGCTGATCCTATGCTACCTCAAAGGGCTGGTTTTTATCCAGCTGGGCAAACGCTGCCTGGAGAGCGGTAACTGACTAATGCCTTTGAGGCTGATTAACCTTGGTCCCTGTCCTCCTAGCCCCTATGTGACCTGGCATATAATAAGAAAATGCAGGTCTGGAATTTAGTATTTGTTTCAAGTCGGGTGGAAATTCAAGTGGCTGAGATGGTGGGGAAGATGTGTAAGACTAAAACTCAGTTTTGTTACATCAACCTAGAAAAAAACGTGAATTGTAAGAGGCTTTGGGTAAAGAGGAGTTTTGTACAGAATGCTGGCTGATTCACAGTCAAAGATTGGGCGTTAAGCACTGTTGATGTGCTCATCTGAGCTGAGTGAGAGAGGAAGAAACAGTCCTTGCCTTTAAGGTACTGAGCAAGATACACTGATAAATACTTAAAAGGCAGCAATATAACTGCCACGGAAGTAAGAAAAAGACACAACAGCAGCCCACAGGAGGTGGTGATCAACTCTGCTTCTCAAAGTAGCTGATTTATGAATAATAAAGAGAGAATCATTCATTCATCACACATCGATTACCTACCTTGTACTATAAACTTCTAGGCTGCTGTTACTGACGTGTATAAATATGTATATTCTAACATCCCTAGTTATTATCGGTCATTTAAAAAATGAAAATCCAGACTTTCCATGGATTCCACTGCTGCAAAAGATGACTAGATCCCTCTTCCCTGAAAGATGCAGCAACAAAACTTCCCACTTCCTCCCTGACAGGTAAGATGACGCTGTGACAAAATGCTACACTCACTGACGCTGTGGCACTTTAATGTTGCCATGACAAAGAAAATCGCAAAGCCCCAAGAAGCTTTGAAAAGGATAGAAAATCCCTGAGCAGATCTCAACAGTGTCAGATTCTCCACCGGTGCCTTTAGATGCGTCTTCAGGCCTCAAAGGACTGATACTTTTAGTTAGAGTTTTCAGCATTTCGTGTGGAATAAATGTTTTCTTCTATAATTGGCAAAACAACTGGCTGGCTTTTGAGAACCTAACATCCTGCCAGACCCTGCATGATTCCATACCGCTAGACATCGAGAAACCCTATATATTGATTTTCTTTTGTGCTTCAGACACATGGGGAAACACACAACCATAACATTTGGACTGTCTTCAAGAAGTTTTCCACAGTGGCTGCAGGCAGGTGTTCATTTCTACACAGAAGAAATGACTAGTACAAGGCTGAGTTTCATCTTCTGGTTTGATGAAGGGCATTTACCAAAAGGGCAGTGAGCAAAGGTGACTACGCCCAATTCTTCTCAGCAGCACCTATAGTATAACTGAAAAAGCCGACCCACTCCATTCACCACCCACAGAGGCCAGCCACGTGTGAAGGGGATTCTGCAGAGCCATTCCTGATCTGCTGAGTTGGGCTCCTTTCAGCAGCTGTCAATACTTACCAGCAAAGTGAAGCTGTGTTCCGGCAGCATCCCATACTGTTGGACGAGCCTTTCTCGGGTCACGCTGGGGAGCTCCGGGAGCCTCTCCCGAAGCTGGTCGATGTTGATCACCTGCTGGGAGTCTGCACCTGCAGGCAGAGATGCAGAGTCGTAGAGCAACAGGGGAGGCAGGTTGGGCTCCGGCATGAACCTAGGCAGAGGGCAGACGGGACCTGAGGCTGGAGCATTTGGATGAATGAGAAAAACAAATTCTACCCTGTTCATATGAATGTTTCTGTGTTTAGATGCTGTGTTCCTTGCCAATTTTTTCTAATGTCCTATTATATCAGGTCTATTTCCAAGGGAAGTCTTTGCACAAGTGTCAAAACCACCAAACCCAATACTCTTCATGCTTACAAAGAAATGATGAGTGAACCGGGGGCGGTGGCTTATGCTTGTAATCCCAGCACTCTGGGAGGTGGAGGTGAGAGGACTGTCTGAGCTCAGGGATTTGAAACCAGCCTGGGCAACTTGGCAAGACCTCATCTCTATAATAAATCCAAAAATTTAACGGGTGTGGTGGTGCACCCCTGTAGTTCCAGCTACTTGGAAGGTGGAGGTGGGAGGATTGCCTGAGACTGGCGGGCCGAGGCTGCAGTGGCCGTCAGTGTGCCTCTGCACTCCAGCCTGGGTGACAGAATGAGACTATGACTCAAAACAAACAAACAAATAAAGTAATGATGTGTGAACTAAGCATAACAGGGGGTTGAAGCCACACTGTGATTTATAATTGTGGATAATTCATTCCACAGTTCATGAAGAATTGTGTACATAGTCACGTGTCACTTAACAATGGGACAGGTTTTGAGAAGCGCATCCTCAGACAACTTCTTTGTTGTGTGAGCATCACATTGTGTATTTACACAAACCCTGATGGTGTAACCTATTACACACCTAGGTTGTATAGCTCATTGCTCCTTGGCATGAGCAACCGGTACAGCATGCTACTACTGCACTGAATCCAGGAGGCAGCTGTAACATCATGGGAAGTACTATGTATCTAAACAAATCTAAACAGAGAAAAGTTACAGTAAAAATGCCAGGTTAGAATTTTCTGGGACCACTGTTGCATATGCAGTCCATCAGTGACAGAAACATCAATTATGCAGTGAATGACTATATATTCAGAAAGTCACAGGTTGGAAAAAATAGGACCAAATGAGAGCAATTTATGTCTTAGGGAGAAAAATGACTTCACCCCCCATTTTAACATTTCTACTATTTTTAGTAGTATTTGTGTAGTAAATGAAAAGTCAAAGGAAAAATATTATTCTTGAGAGGTAGAAGAAATGAATGGATTTTGCCCAAATAAAATAAGCTAGAGGTGAGAGAGGAAGGGATGAATAGGTGGAGCACAGAATTATTTTGGTTTTTTTTTTTTTTTGAGCTAGTGTCTCACTCTGTTGCCCAGGCAGGAGTGTAGTGGCATGATCACAGCCCAGTGAAGCTGCAAGTTCCTGGGCTCAGGCAATCCTTCCACCTCAGCCTCCCAAGTAGCTGGGACTACAGGTCCATAACACTATGCCTCACTAATTTTTAAAAATCTTTTGTGGAGTTGAGGTCTCACTATGTTGCCTAGGCTGGTCTCAAACTCCTAGGCTCAAGCAATCCTCCTGCCTTGGCCTCTCAAAGTACTGGGATTATAGGTGTGAGTCATGGCACTGGCCAGCACAGGGCAACTACCCTGTATGACACTGTATAATAGATACATGTCATTACACATATGTCAAAACCCACAAGATACACAACACGAAGAATGAACCCCAATGTAAACTATGGACTTTAGCTAGTCATAAGGTATAAATATCAGTTCACCATTGTAACAAATGTACCCTAATAATGGAAGATGTTAATAAAAAGAAAATCAATCTGTGGGGAAGGAGTAGGGGAAGAGAATATAGGAGGACTCTCTGTACTTTCTACTCACTTGTATTGTAAACCTAAAACTGCTCTAAAAAATAAAGTCAATTAAGTTTTTTTAAAAAGTGGAAGCTGTACCACTGCATACCATCACATGAAGCAAAGATGACCCTCCCTGTTCTGTTCCAGCACTAATTCTCTCTTTCTGTCCAATTTCGTCAAAGGGTTTATGTAAAAGCAGGGTAGTGCAGAATAAATGGTAGTGTGAAGGGAATGAATTAGACATGCATGCAGCCTAGAAGCTCAGGCCCAGGCTCTGTTATGAATCAGTCTGGCTTCTGAAGGCAGCAGGAAACCAAAGGGAGGCTTCCTGAAAGTCACTATTAACTTGAGGGATGAAGTTGAAGCCACTGGCTGAGGTAAAAGCCAAATCCATGCTCAGTAGGAAAGCAGCACAAATAGAGGAGGAAACAACACTGAAGGACAAAGTGTTTTACTAATGAGGAGACCAAAGTACAGTGAAGCTAAATACCTTCTTCCAGGTCAGGTAGCTGAGCCCAGACCTCTTGTATTCCCTCCCACCACCCCATGGTCAAGATGCTTATTAATGCAAACATTTATCACAACAGCACAAGGGAAGGATAGGCAGTCACGGGTCACTACCAGGGAAGGGGGTGGGGACATAACAACACAAAGGATACCTAAACCAGAGGAGGTGAGGACCATCTGGAGGCCGAAACTTCACCTGCATGTAGATTACTTATGTACCTAATCCTGACATGTCCATCTTTATAATAAAATGAAGTTAAAAAAAAAAAATTTTGACTTTGATGGACACATGGCAGAAGTCTTTTGGGTTGAGGTTACTCTTAAGGGTTAAAGAGTTTCTTCTTTCCCACATAATGAGGCTAAACTTGATCCTCATTGACAGTAATAGCTACACTTTTATCTTTCTGCACTTTACAAAGGAAAGATGGGTTCATCCCAACAACTTTGTTGCTTAAAGCTTCAATCTTGGCAATCTGCTAAACACAATGCAAAAAACAAAAGGTTCAATTTATCTTAAGCCTATCCTTATTATTTGCTTGATTTGTGGGTCTCATATTAAGTCCAACTTGTTTAATTTAGCAATGTAATAACATCATCTGGACTTGAAGGAAACTGCCATTAACACATACACTTCTTTTTTCATTTCTTCTCAAGGAGCTTCAGTGTATTACTGAATTTGTCATTGAATGTACTGAATGTATTACTAAATTTGTTATTGCATGTAAGATCAGCCTGGGTCCCAACTTTAACTGCCATCCTCTTAGCTCGACTATACCAGCTTTGGCACAGAAGTGAGTGAACAAGTGTCTTTCAACAGTTGAATCTGTCAAAGAAGGCACTCTGAGGCTTCCAAATCAAAAAGATAGTACTACTTTCAGTATGCACGTAAAATAGGAAGCCTAGATTTTCCATCATGTAACAGTAACAACTGGTTCCTCAAAACTGTCCAGGATCGTATGTTGATCTTTAGATGGATTTCAAACACGTCCCTGTCCCCAAATATGGAATGGCATTTTGCTATAACTACCTGTAGTCCTGTTTTCCTTCCTTGTCTCTCATTGGCATGGTGCACCTATAAGAGTTAAATGAGAAAATATCAAACAAACATTGCATGCAACATTGACCAGCCTGAATGTCAAGGAGGGGTTTCTCCTACCAATAAGGGACCGAAGCAAATTCATGCTCTTCAGCCTTCTGTAGGAGACACATATGAATACATTTTAGGAATAATAATAAAGGAAAAAGAAATGTTTAGAATGATAATTTTTTAAAAAAGAAAAATTGCTTCAATGTTCAAAGTTTTTAGCCAGTTCAAAACGCTAAACTTTTGAGATTTCAGTATCTACTTAAAATAAAAAATTCTCAAAATTCTAAGTTAGAAAATTAGGGTCAAAATGACCTAAACAACAATTTAAAAAGCATCTCCACAACGAGGTCTTTGCTCTCTTCTACTTCTAGTGTACGCTGGGAGAGGTACAACAGATTATTTCAGGAAATGAAAATTACTGCTGAAGTAGGTAGGGTGAAAGAAAAAGAAGGGCCAGGACCTAAGACTAAGTAAGCCCTGATGGACAGTCTGGGTCAGTTCAAATATGCAGCCCTATGAGGTATATAATTTCCCTATAGGGTGCAGAATTTTTCTAATTTTACTAATGAGGAGACCAAAGTGCAGTGAAACTAAATACCTTCTTCCAGGTCAGGTAGCTGAGCCCAGACTCTTGTGTTCCCTCCCACCACCCTTGGTCAAGATGCTCATCAATGCAAACTCACCCCAGCTTGTAATCAAATGAGCGTGTTTCATTCAGAATTTCTCCTCCATTCTCAAGCTCATTGATCTGTCTCTGAATTTCATAGTCTAAGAAAAACACAGTAATTTAGTATCATATTTTGATTATACCTTTCATCCAATCAAGCAATAATTAGAAACTTTTCTTAACCTTTAAGTCAAAAAATAATCAAGAAGAAGAGTAATTATAATAATTCTACTCTTATGTGCTGTATTTTCTTCTCACGGCTCCCACAGAATGTTGGTGCTAGAAAGGGCCTTAGGAAGCCTGCTTCCTCAGTTTTTGAGACAACTCAGGTTTAGTGAGACTAAGCAACCCAGTACAGATCACATAACTTGGCAGAAGCAGGGCTGAGACCAATATCTAGGTCTAGGATTGTTTCCTATCAAGGGTTCTACTCTGGAATCCATGAATAGGCTTCCAGAGGGTCTGGTATCCCCCCAAATTATATACAAAATGCAGGTTGTGTGCATATGTACATTTCTGGGGGAAATGGTCCAGGATTTCATTATATTTTCGAAGGGATCTGTAAACCCAAATGATCAAGGACTACTGCTCCATGCCATGCTTCTTCATCACCAAGCAAGGCAGGCTGCGGGTATCACACAACCACAATTGCTGAGCTACTATATGAAAATAGCTGGAGTCTACCCCTTAGCATGCCACCCCACTGGGCACCACCTTCCCTTAGCCCAGTCCAAGCCCTTTCCCCTGAGCTGCTGAAACACAGCAACACTAAAATGTGTCTGCTTTTTGCTCCTCATCTCTTCCACTCCAATGCTCTCTTTTGGTTGACATGAGAGGATGGCTAAAAGGCCCAACGCAGGGAGAAAAAGGTGGTAGGAAAAAACCACAGGCTCGGAGAATTAAGCTCACGACAGTAAAGCTTGGTTCGTCCGGTCTGATCAGACCACAGGGAGAATTCTCTCTCAGACTGCTCCTCCAAAGAGGACTCCAAAGGACAAGAAAATGTTAGGGAAACACGCCAGGGGTCTCCTTCGTAACTCATTATGGATAAACCTGCCTAAAATCTCGTTGCTTGCTTTTTTTGGGTTATCATCACCACCTCTTAAAATAACAGGTCCCAGAAACTACCACCTACAAGGTGAATGGAACTTTCTTCCATTTGTTCCAGGCTTCCCTTCATAAACTTGGTTTATAAAGGTTTCCGTGACTCAAACCTTTCATGGCTTCAGAAACATGAACTGTGTCCCCTTTTAGAGACAGAAAGTTCACCATTTTAGTCTGTCTTCATGTGGGAGTCTTCCCATTACCTCCCCTCTCTCATAAGTTATCCCCTTGAGCATTTTAATTCTCTTTTTCCTGAAAATGTATAGACTCAGAATGTCTTCATTAAGGCTGGTTGATTCATTTCAGGTTCAGGATAATAAGGTTTAATACCAGACTAGAATAATCTTTTCTGTGTTGTTTCTAATACTTTTCTTTACAGGACCCAGGACTCTGCTAAACATTCTGACAACACGTTCAGCCATCCTGCTCTCTGTGCACTCTTGAAGGGATGCACTTTAAACTCTACCCCACCCTCCTTTTCTCTTCCTCTCTAGATATCTTTGGTTTTAAGAAATCTTTTCAGTCCTTTGAGATGTCCTCCTCTTGGATTCATAGTTACCAACTTCAATGGACTACCCCAGATGTTATCTTGCTAAGTTGTCTTCTATTTTAATTTTTATTCTACATTTGTCAGCAATGAAATATCCACAGGGTATGCCCCAACAAGACCAATACTTGACTGCACAGGCACATAATTTATCAGGTAAAAAGGATAAAAAGCAGAAAAACATACTGACCATCTAGTTTAAGCTATGGCAAATCTGAAATGAACAAACAGGACTTTAGAAAGTTCAGGCTGGTCAGAAAGAAAGTGGTAAATGGTAAAACACAGCCAAGACATTTTGTGGACTCTCCCATAAAGAGATAGAGGCTGTTTCCCCTCCCCTAAGTCTGCTTTGAATTCAATTGCTCTGAGTAGAATGTGCTGGAAGTGAGGCTGTGTGAGGACCCAAGGAGCTTTGAGGCGCCTGCCTTCATCTTCGCGAAACACTCCCGCTGCCACATTAAGAGAGCCTCGGTACACAAGTGCATGAAGAAAGACCACATGGATGCAGGAGCCTAGCAGGCATCCAGGACCACGGCCGCAACATATGACAGAGGCCACCTCAGACCTCGCTTCAGCTGACCTGCCAGTTTCCTACAGCCACCTGAGTGAAGAACCTCCCAATCCATAGAACTGTGAAAATGACAATGATTATTGTGCTATTCACTACATTTTTGGGCGGTTTGTTGCATAGCAAGAGTCAAATGTCATAAAGAAGGGCGGTGTATTCACCAATGGCTTTGGCCAGGAACCTGATGCTATTGAGATTCTTCACTTCCGTTCGAATGCCCAGAGGCTCCCCAGGGTGATGTACGGATACATTGGCATCCACTCTCAACTGGCCTTCTGCAGGGAGAAAGAAAAAATTACCCTTTAGAAATTATTATTATTTTTTTTTTGAGTTGGAGTCTCACTCTGTCGCCCAGACTGGAGTGCAGTGGCCGCTCCCGGCCACTGTAGCCTTGACCTGCTGGGCTCTGGCGATCCTTCCACCTCAGCCTTCCAAGTAGCCAGAAGTACAGGCATGCGCTACCACGCCCGGCTGATTTTTTGATTTATTGTAGAGATGAGGTCTCGCTGCCCAGGCGGGTCTCGAGCCTGCGGGTTCAGGCAATCCACTCACCTCAGTCTCCCAAAGGCGCGGGATTACAGGGATTACAGCCCAGCTTAGAAACTTCTTTTTTTAAAGGCAGAAGCATGTCAAGAAGTAAGCAGTGTCTAACTCTACTGGCTGTTCAGTTTCAGCAACCTAGCTTTAGAGGAGGCACAGCTGGTTCTCAAGCACTTGACTGGCGCTTCTGCCCACTTGAGAAGAGTTCTGGTCCTAAGGCATCTGGGGTGTGCCTGTACGCATGTGTGCATAGGGGTATGTGCACAGGTACACATACCGAAGAGAAGTTTTAGATATAACGCCTGGGAGGATCTCATTTCTTTTGTGCTAAATAAGAAAAACAACACTATTAAAATGGAGATTTACTCTGCTGTTTTATTCTGAAGTTTTTTTTCAAAGTGTCAGAGCTGGCTGGGGGAAGGCCTCAAAAATGATTACCTGATAACCCTACACTGCTCTCCAACAGGATGTGGATTTACCAGCGATTCCAGGAGATTTATATGAGAGTCCTTGAGAATTTACAGCTCAAGGGCGAGCACAGAGGACTGGGCTTTTCCCTTCCTCCTTCTTCCAGGTACTGTAATAATCTCTTGCTTCCACACACAAGAGTCAGAATCCTTCCTGATTGCTATAAGGATTTGCTACAGCAGAAAGACAGTGCTGTTATGGAGCAGGGGGTCTGTGGTAGAACTCACAGAGGGGTCACCCCATCCCAGGAGTACCTTCTTTGACTCTGAAAGCCCCTCAGCTTAGCAGCAACAACTTCTACAGAAGCAGGTAATATGTGGAGAGGACAAAAAGGCTCTTGAGGAAGAGAGAGAGGTAAAAACCCCAAGACAAACAGAGAGATGAAGATAAGAAATAATCACATTGGCACCCTACAAAGTAAAGCTCAAATCCTCTCTCCTCCAATTTCACTTACAATATTTAAAACAGAACAGAATGAGAGGATAAAATGCTGGATTTTCTTTTCCGAGGTAGGTTTTTAAATTAAAAAGTAATCTTCCAAACCTAAGTGTCTTGCTGGGCTGAGTACATTCATTTTCCAAGATTCCCCAGCAAAAGCATATTAAAATAATACAACAGTATAAATAAATTCCATGTCAAGAAAAGGAGACTCCTGGAGTGGTTCTCTGCCATTCGCCCAGTGCCGAGCTGCGGCCCACACCAAGCTAGAGACCGTGGGCCCTGCAGCTCACCTTTCTCTCCACTCACACCCTCAGGAAAGGGAGAGCTTGCCCACTGCATGGCTGCGACTGCCACTCACGCTGACAGTCAGGACGAAGACACCTGGCAGTTCAGAAGTGGCTCTAATGCTGACTTCTCAGCACTGTTACGGAAATTCTGTAGCCCCTTATTTTTAATCACCTTTTGGACAAGTTGCGCTTATGAATGTCAAGAAGTCCCAAGTATCCCTGAAACCTTTAGACTCTCGCTCTAGGGTCCCCTGCAGTCCTCTCCACTTCTGTTTTCTTTGTCCCTTATATCCAAACTGACAGCTAGATCCTATCAGGTCCCTTCAAATCCCCTTGCATCTGTCACTTCATTCCATTTCACTGCACTACCCTCGCCCAGAGATCTCAGCACTTCAGGCCTAGCTCCAGGGATTGCATCCTGACTCAAGACTCAGCAATGCCTTCTGTCCTGTCACCAGCAATGTGGCTGTGACTCTCATCCTGCCACAATATGGTTTTCATCATTGCTGTTGTTCACTCAAGCACACAAGCAGCTCCCACTGGCTCATGGTCTCCTCTGCTCGGTATTTAAGAGACTTTATCTGGTCTCAGCTGACACCACCTGTATTTTCCCATGACGCCTTCCAGGAGAAAGTTCCCCTCCAATCCAGAGCAGATTCCTGCTTACAATCCCAGTCATCTCCACTGGCATGTTTTCTTTATCAGTGCTACTGTCTCTCTCCTCAAACTCTTCTCATTCTTTAAGGACCCACTTAAGTATTACCACCTTCCCCTAGAAAACCTCACCCTCATCAATTAAGCTGGTCTTTGTTGGTGGGTCCTCTGAACTATCAGAATATTCCCAATCTACACTACAGAATTTAGTGCATGACTATAGCCTATTCTGAATTAGACTTTTTTTTTGAGACAGGGTCTTATTCTGTTGTCAAGGCTGGAGTGCAATGGCACAATCATGGCTCGCCACAGCCATGACCTTCTGGGCTCAGGCCTCCTGGATTCAGGCCATCCTTCAGTCTCCCAAGTAGCTAGACTATAGGCACACACCACCACACCAGACTAGTGTTTTTATTTTTGTAAAGATGGGGTGTTGCTATGTTGCCCAAGCTCGTCTTGAACTCTTGTTCTCAAGTAACCCTCCCCAAAGTGCTGGGGTAGAGGAGTGAGCCATCATGCGAGCCAGCCTTATCTTTAAGATCAGAATGGAAGTCCCCTGAGGGCTGGGCCAGGTTTTGATTCACTCTTACCTTCCCAGGGGCATCACTCTTTAGTTATCCCTTCTCTCTCACAACCATCACACATCTCTTTCTCAGCATTCCCTCTGATATATACATATGAAGCAATATTTCTTATTAAAAACACAAACAAAAACCCAAAAACCTATTCCCTAGAACCCAATTCTCACTCCCTCCGTCATTCAGCTATCGCTTTTCTAGTTTCCTTTTCAGTGAAGCCTCTTAAGCAAGTTTTGTTTCCTTGTTGCACACACCGTCTCCACTCTCTCCCCTCCCATTTACTGCTAAACCCACTTCAGCCTGGCTTCTGTCCCCACCTCTCTGAAAATGCTCCTGTCAGAGTCACCAGCAACCTCCTGGCTGCCAAATTCAATTGACACAGGGCACTTGTTTTCACCTTACTTGACAACTCAGTAGCATGTGACATACAACCAATCCTTCCTTCATGAAATCTCTTCCTAGCTCAGCTTTCTTGGTCTTCCTCCTACCTCCTTGTTTCCATCTCACTTGCTGGTACCTCCTTTCCTATCCAAACCAGGACGCCCTCTTTACCCTCTGTGTAGTACACAGTTTAAAACCAACGAAGTACTCATGACACCCACATTCTCTTTTCAGCCCAAACCTCCCCAAGCTCCACACTTCTTACCTCCAGTATCCATCTGACACCTCCACCTGGAGATACTACAGACAACTCCGTTTCCAAAACTAAATCCTGACTTGCCCCTTTACAAACACATTCTCGTCCTCATCTTCCAATTTCATTTAGCAGCATCACCACCCAGCTCCTTGAGCTTCCTTGAAGGCATACTTGTTTTCTTCCTGTCTCTTACCATTCACACCAACCTGTTAACAAATCCTGCCATTTCTAAGACCTATCTTGAATCTACCCATCTCTCCATCTTCACTGCTACCAGTGCTGTCCAAAACAACATCATCTTCCATCTGAACTGCTGCAAAAGCGCCTTAGCTGGTCTCCTGACTTCCACTCTTATCCTTCCAAAATCCACTTCCCACAAAGCAGTTTTCTAAAACAATCAGATGGTGCCATTCCCTTGCTTAAAAACCATTCAAGGCTTTCCACTGTACTTAGACTGAAACCTCAGCCACCATCTACAATCTAAGCTACCCCTTGCCACCATCTACAATCTAATCTACCCCTTGCCTGCCTTTACGCTTTGCTCTGAGGCCACAGGCTTTCCCCATGTGACCTGCAGTGACCTCACTCATCTCAGGACATGTTCCAGTTCTTGTTCATCTCAGGGCCTTTGCCTTAGCTGTTTCCTGGATCATTCTTCTGGTTTTAAATAAATATCACTTCCTCTGAGGGGCCTGAAAAAATAACATTACCTTCCAAAGCTATTTTGTATCATGGCATCCCATTTATTTCCTTGAAGCCCTTGTCACTATAATGATTTTGTTTTACTGGTTAATGTATTTGCCACCCTCATGGATATAAGCTCTACGTGGCAGGAACAAAGTCGTTTTCAGAACCCAGAGCAGGGTCAGGCACATGGCGATTGTTCAATAAATTACACCTTGTTGGACAATGAATGCCAAAACTCAGGTATTGTCCCGAGCAGTGAGTAAGCAGACTGGTTTCTGGCTCACAGTGGGTTCCCGATAAGTTCTAAAACTCTCTCTGAATAGGACTAATCTACAGCTGGAATCATCTGAAAGGCCCATTAAGCTCAAAGGGAAACTTCCAAAGTATGCTGAGCTCTATCCAACCAAACCTCAATACTTGAGAGGCAACTTTTTTTGAACTCAGGGAACCATGAATTGGACCTCACCTGCTTTTTAAAAATGAAAGCGTCCTTCACAATTTAGAATTCTAATTTGGAAGAGGAATAAAAGCATGAATTTCAGTCTCTCCCGGAGAAGACCACACTACATAAATATCTGAGAGAAATCACTTAGCATCCTGCAGTGTTAAAAGAGCATTCGCTAGCCTGGATTCAAATGCAGTATTGAACATTAACAAAAGACATCCTATCCAGTGAAGACAAAATACCTTTTAAGCAAATTAAGTTCAACTGCCTTGAGTGCACAGAAGCCTCACCAGTGAGGTTTACTTCAATGCATTCTGCACCATGGAGGGAGAGTCGTTTGCACACCATGAGAATGTTACCGAGCTCAATTTCTAGCTTCTAGAAGTAGAGATTTGTAACAACACAACTAAAATACTACACCACTGAGCACAGTGATATAGTGCAGTTACCTATTTTTCTCTAAAACACATTCACACAACAGAAATATAACATCAGGACAGAAAACTGTTTCTGCAAACAGCAGGAGCCTGAGGATATGGTGGGAAGGTCTGGTAAGTGATCTTGTTTCGATGGCTGACTGTTCTCCAAAAGTGAAACAACAAGGTTTGACCAAAACAATGTGAGCAAATTCTACTGGACACATTTTGCAAAGCTTATTCACTCAGATGCGTGGTGATTCCACAAAAGTCCTACTACTTATTATTGCTAATAAAAGCACGCAACGTTTACCAGCACAGGCTATCACCAGGCTGTGAGATGAGTTTTATATACATTATCATATTCATTCTCACAATATAGCTTTAATGACAAAGCCAGTGAGATATCCCCGAGGCATTACAAACTTAATACGTCATAAATGGAATTCCAGATTTTCTCCCACAGTCCTTCCCCTCATCCAGCTGCCCCGTCTCTGACGACCTTGATGCCTTCCTTTCCTCCTTGGTGTCTTCTTTTCCCTTTCCATACACAATTATCTGGGGGCTCGTTTTATAAGTGTGGAAAGTGAGGCTCAGAGAAGTCAAGTAACCTGCCTGGGCTCCTGCTCCTAGAAGCCATGGATTCTAGGATTGCAACCCACATCTGGACTACAGAGCCCTCAGCACCCATGCCCTGCAATACTGCCTAAGTCGGAATTTGTAGCAGTCATGACACTGCTGTGGCTGCCACTAGGAAGCAGTATGATGCTGTGCTCAGAAAAAGGACTCCTGGAGTCAGACACACCCGGGCTCAAGTCCCAGCTCTGTCATTTTATGTGGCTCTTGAGCAAATAACCCAACCTGTCTAAGCCTCAGTTTCCTCACCTGTACAACAGGTATAATACTACCTCTCAGGAAGACCATGAAGTTTAAATGGGATGATAAATTAATTTTAAAATGCTCAGTGAACTGATGAGCACATATTAAATGTTCCACTGGTAGATATTAGTATCACTGAAACCCTTGGGATATCTGCTTCTGGCCATATTCAACTCAACCAACTGCTCTGAGGATCTCCTCAGCAGAGGAAAAATACTGTCCCCAGAGGAGGAAATGACTTGGAACCTGGGCTGAGCTGGGCCATGCTCATTAGCAAAACTATCAGGAACTCACTGAATCACAGCCTGGAACAATTTAGGTTTCATTCTAAAAGCACCCTGAATATTCACTAGTCTTTAGCCCACCTCTTCAAGGTGGCCCTCAGCTCCCAGGCTGCAGGTTCCAATGTTCACACAGTGGTTCCATGGGGGTGGGATAGAGGGATAAGCAAAGAAGATGGGGTTGACAAAATGCTCACAGCACCAAGAAGCTGGCCCCTAGTAGGCTCTAGGCAAACCTCAGCTCCCACAGTACTTTAGAACCAGAGCCCCTGGGCTGCTATGCTAGAGGCTGTTGGATTTGTATTTAAAAGAAACAAAAAGTGTCACAACAAATGAGATTTAATGAACACTCTCAGCTGTCACTGATGGATGATGGTTTATCTCTTGGCAAGGACCCAGATGGGAATATTTCTCAGCAAACAGGTGGCCTATTTATTATCCCACAGGGTTGGTAGGAATCACAGTTATTTTGAAGAAGAATAGGATAATAAAAACTTTCTTAAAGCAATACAGAATCAACACTTGGAGCATAAATGGATAACCATCCAGCCTGCCCATCTTTCATTTATGCTCTGTGAATAAGAAAAGCAGCAAGGGCGATAAATCTAACATGGAGAATCCTCTGACTCTGAAATAGAGTGTCAATTCTACAAAGCAAACTTGTGTAGGGGCTAACCTTCATGCCACTCCATTTCATGGGGCTGTTTTTTCAATCTTCAGCTTGAAGACAGTAATAAGCAAGATCTGTCTTCAGTTCTACTTGTATACTAGGGCTCTGATGTTACAATTTGTTGCAATGTAACAAATGTGGCATTACAAATCCAGAAGTCCCTTTGCAACATGCAAATACATTATGTGACACACTAAGGTTGGTAAACAGTATTATGAACTGGCAGGGAGATGAACATCATCATGGATGGCATTTCCTAGGCACCCACTGTGACCACTGTACCATGCTATGGAAAATGCAATTGCATATTCACAACCTATATTCTGCCCCTATCCCAGCAGGGAGGGCTCCAAGGATGGCAGAAGTTTTTAAAAGGCCCTGAGACAGAGGATAGGGGAAAACTATGGGAAAGACTAGTCTCCGGGGATTTTGTTTTGTTTTGCTTTTTGGTTTTTGGTTTTTTTTTTGAGTTGGAGTCTCACTCTGTCGCCCAGACTGCAGTGCAGTGGCCGTCCCGGCCACCGCAGCCTCAACCTGCTGGGCTCCGGCGATCCTTCCGCCTCAGCCTTCCAAGTAGCCGGAATTACAGGCATGCGCTACCACGCCCGGCTGATTTTTTGATTTATTGTAGAGATGAGGTCTCGCTGCCAGGGCGGGTCTCGAACCCGCGGGCTCAGGCAATCCACTCACCTCAGCCTCCCAAAGGTGCGGGATTACAGGCTGAGCCACCGAGCCCGGCTTCTCCAGGGATTTAATGGAAGGCAGAGCAGCACAAGGCCAGGGCCAAGGGAGCAGAGCCAGGAAGAAATCGCATTTGACCAAAATTGTGATCTTGACATCCAATTTGCTGACACTTAAATGTATAGTTTGCTTGGTCCCAAGGGTGTGTTTCTTTTGTTTGCTTTAGTTTCCTACTATATTTCTACTGACCTTCAGATCTCATCTCAGGTTAAAGTTTTGTATAATCATAATCTTGGCTTATAGTCAATACAATTTGGCTTCAGCTGTAAATAGTTGAAAATTCTACAAAAGAAAGAAAAGGATAAGAGGCAACTAGCAACTAAGTGCTATCTATACGGAACTCACAGGCTAAGAATTATTCTTGATATGCAAACTTCTTCCTGAGAAGGATTACACTGTTCAAAACCCATTATTTCATTAAGGGCTCAGTGTTTCTGCACTCTTGTTATTTGTGTGTTTATATTTGGTTTGGGGGTTCAGAAAAGAAACTAAGGAAAATTCTAAGAAAAAAAAACAAAACAACCAGAGGTGTACAAGGTTGGGGGGTGTGGGAAGTGATCATGGTAAGTGATGGCAGAAAACAAAACTCAAGTCGGAAGAGACCTGGGAAGCAGAAAGGGAGAAGGTCAAGAAGGACCTTGTTTCTGTGGCTCTACCTGCCATATTTGCCTGGCTGGTCCCCAGGGCTTGAAGTATCAGTTGCAGCTCCCTGACAGCTGTTGCTGCCTCTTCTCCACAGGACATGTCTGGCTCCAGGACCACCTCCAGAAGGCCAACACCTACCAAAGAGAGGCAGAGTCAGCCTGATTGGAGCTCTCCAATTTCACCAGCAGAAAAAGAGGCTCAAGTCTCAGGAAAATCCTGCATTGCTGAAGGACTCTCAAAATGGTTCTAGCTTCTCAATCATTTCTCTCTTTTCTCCTACCTTTTTTTTTTTAATTTAAGAGGTGCAGTCTCGCTGCTGAGTCACCAGGCTGGTGGAAGCTACCCCTGAGTAAGCTGGGACTACAGATGCACACTCAGTTATTTAAAAAAATTTTTGTAGTGACAGGTCTCACTATGTTGCCCAGGCTGGTCTCAAACTCCTGAGCTCAACTGGTCCTCCTACCTCAGGCTCCTAAGTAGCTGGTACTGTGGGCGTGTACCACTGTACCAAGCCCCCACTTTTTGACTTTTAACTTCAATTCACTTCTTTTAATATAATGTCTGCTTAAGATATGCTGTTGGGTCCCTGACTAGGTAGATAAGTCATCTGATTTTATGGGTGAATTATTAGCAAGCCTAATAGCAATCATGGCTCGAACCACGCTCACTAATCAACTGTGCCAATCCCAATGCTGATATTCTGGCCTCCCTCTGTCAGACTCCTGTGCCTGCTTTCTCAGTTGACTTGGGAAAACACCAGAAGGGAAGAAAGGTGCCTAAGACCCAAGAACAGGGGTGGCTGGAAGGAGAAGCAATGAAAACACTTGGCGCCTACCCGCCCTGTTCAGATCAATGAGCGTCTGAGACCGCAGGTCATCGTGGAGGCTCTTGCCACTGTCTTGCTCCAGCTGGATTTGCTTGATCCTCACTGTCCTGGTGACCATCTGACTCCGTCTCTTCCCGACACAGACGCCGTATGTCAAGCTCCCATTCACGGCAATAGGGAGCCTCTGCTGAGTGATCTGGTAGCCCGCCTGCACACAAATATGGGTGACATGGTGACTAGGCCACAAGTAAAAGTGGGGGTCCAGTTTACTACTCCTTGTAATGGCACACGACTGTAGGCTTTACTTAAAAACAGAAAGCAATACAAAGAGGAAAAGGAAAAGGAGAGGAGAAGTTAGCTTACGCACTGCAGCTGTGACTCAGCTGGCTTTTCCTGCTCCTGCCCTCACTCCCTTGGCCTCCCCAAGTCCCACCCCAATAGCCACACAATATACACCACAAATCCGTCCCGTGGTCCTCACCAAAGTGCTGTTTTGGGGAATAAAAATAATCTCATTGTCAGTGGCGCCTAAGAAAATAATGTATCGTTCCCATTTTGCTCATTAGCCTTAACTCTGCATCTCATTGCTGGGTCCTGACAACCCCTGTCTAGGAGGAAACGCCGGTCAAGCATTCTCCATCTACTCTCCACACAGCCAACCGCAGGTACTTGTGTGCTTAAGCTTGTTTTGTTTCTGCTCTTTAAGTGAACCAATCACGTCAGCTGCCCTCCCTGACTCAACTTCCCTGGCTCCTTTAGCTAGAAAATGCTGTGACCCTCACACTTAGCTAATGGAAAGTACACAAGACTAAAATGTGGATGGATCTTGTGAGGACTCCGTCACCTCCTTCTACATAAAAAGGAAGAATTACTTTGAAATGCACACGTGCACCCACATAAACCAAAGAGATGGCAAGCCAGTGAGGAGAACTGGAGAACAATAGGGAACATCAGCTAAGGCATCCACAGACGTTGTTCTCAGTGTGCTACACTCAGTTAATCCCACACCCACCCTATGACAGAGGCACAAGGCACAGAGGGGTTGGGGCCTTGCCTAAAGCCACACACAGAGTTAGTGAGTATTGATGTCAGCATCTGAACTCAGATGCTCTGACTCCTGAGTCTGTGCTCCTGGTCACCAGGTCCACCAGAGGTTTTACAACTTTAACTGCATCTGAAATACCAGTGGGCTTGTCCAAGCACAGACTGTCGGGCTCTACCTCAAGGGTTTCTGGTTCAGTAGGCCTAAGGTGAGGGGGCTGAGAATTTATATTTCTATCAAGTTCCCAAGAGACACTAATGCTTGTGCCCTGGGGACCACACTTTGAGAACCCTGTAGGAGGCTCACTGGTTTTCTATACTGAGATATCAAGTCTCAATTGGTAAAACTAAATTCTGGGCAGAGTTGCTGGATAAAATGTGGGACACACCCAGTAAAATTTGAATTTCAGATAAACAATGACTACTTTAGTATATTCCCATGCAATATTTGGCAATACTAACTCTGGATTATCTGAACTATCTGGGCCAGAAAGACCAGAAAGCCACAGATAAACAAGACATCTTGTTTTAGTCCCCTATTGCTAAGTCTCCCACCTTAACCAAACTGTCACTCTTAAAAGACGAAGAAATGCAGTTTAATTCTTTCCACCCTACCAAGCAGTAGACATGCTGGGAAGCTGACAGCCAGAGGGGAAAAGTAGTAGCCATGGGAGAACTCAGGTCCTACTTGGTATTTTTTATTTAATTCTACCCCTGCCCTTACCCACTAAAAACAGTTCACCCCAATCTTCAATCCAAGGACAGGAGGTGAAGCAACATGATCACAGTTGTTTTTCTAAATCTAAAGGACAGCCATGTCATTAGAGGCTCAGATCAAATGAGACATTATTTTGGGAGACCCATTCAGCATTTCCATTTTGTTCCAGTTCAACAGTATGAAAAGTCGGCTCTCATTCACATGGCATGGTTTAAAGAAAAAAGTGATAATTTTCAGGAAAAAGCAAGTCAATATTGAGTTTACCACTCAGCCAATTACAGTGGTGAGTCCAGGTGTCTGGTTCATGTTTCTGCTTACTATTGTCCACTTACTTGTTCCTTGTGAGATGACAGAAATGTCTCCAAAGGAGATGGCCCTATTATTGGGAACTTGAACTTAAAAGCGAGAAGCTCTCACGATACCTACAGAGCTGCAGTATGCATTTACTATTGCATCAGCCGCGGAGTCAGCTTTTGTACTAACAGGCAATTAGCACCAAATACCATGGCTGGGCTGAGCCTGCGAACACTGGCTTCTACTCCCCGTGCAATTATGCGCGAGCCACCAGAAGCATGAGGCTGAGCAAGGAGTCAGCAATCAGGACAATCGCATCCAATCTCATAAACATCGGGGGGCACCTGCCTTCTGTGGGGCGGTTAGGACTTCCCGCTGAGATGGACAGAGCAGGGCCTGAAAACATGAGAGCACAGCCCCTCTCCCTGCTCCAAACCCCCCGCGGCAGGGATGGCCCAGCCTCAGAGCTTCCAGAGGGGCGGATCACAAAGCACACTTACAGGGAGGTCTGCATAGAAGTAGTGCTTCCTGTCAAACAAGGACTTCTTGTTGATGCGGCAGTTCAGAGCCAGGCCTGTCATCACCGCGGCTTCCACACACCTCCTGTTGAGAACCTGTGGGAACATGACACACAGGCCCCTCAGAACCATGGGCTTAACAAACGCTTCTCCCACACCCTGGCATCCTCACTGAATATTCAGCCTGGTCCTTCAACGGGCTAGTTCTCTGGGTGGGCAGCTCTCGTTCACAAGCTGGCTCTGTTTGTTAGGGAAATGATACAAAGAAGAAAATGCATGTGGCAATGGGTCTCACTGGGCACTCGATGAACTGCCACATCGGGGATCCTTTCTCCCAATGCCTGGTATCAAAGTTAACAGGAAGAGTTCCAGAAAAGCTTAAGGAGAGTGGTTGCTGCATGGAAGGAACCTAATCTCACTCCCTCTGCAAACAGACAAGTCCTGATGAGGGGATGCTTCACTTGGACAGAAAAGAAATGCACTTCAGAAAACAACCGAGGCTACGGCCATTTCCTCAAGGGCTGAGGGTCGTGGCACAGGTGCCTCCTGGCTTTCAGTCCCCACTTGGCCACTCCCTAAAAGCAGAGCTATAACCGAGTATCTGCCCCACACACCAACCTACCCTGTGCTCTGCTGGTCACTATAGAGGCAAGTTCCTTCTGGATCCCACCTTGCCCCACTTTCAGGGATGAATGACCAAGAAACGGCTAGCAAATTTCCCAGCCACAAAGGATGTGAAGAGCTTTTAAGAACTCAAGGGGTTTGGAACTAGACAACTAGAGATAACGTGGTACAGGAGGAAGCTTAGGTTCTCAAGTCAGGTGCAGATCCCTTTCTGCTGTGCGTGACGGGGTCTCAGCTTCCTCATGTCTGAAATAGGGATTTCATATTTATCTTGCAGAGTGGACAAAGTAATCGCTAGAACACCTCTATAGTAGAGACTCAATAAATAGTTCATTGCTCTATTTTAGGAACATTTTGGAGGATGCCATGTTTACTGGTGAAATATATATGTATATACATTTTGTGAGTTGGAGTCTTACTCTGTCGCCCAGGCTAGAGTGCAGTGGCATGCTCACAGCCACTGTAGCCTTGACCTGCTGGGCTCAGGTGATCCTTCTGCCTTAGCCTTCCAAGTAGCTGGAACTAAAGGCAGCTAATTACCCAGCTAATTTTTCTTGGTTTATTATAGCAATGAGGTCTCGCCAAGTTGCCCAGGCTGGTCTTGAACCCATGGGCTCAGGCAGTCTTCTCATCTCCACCTCCCAAAGTGCTGGGATTATAGGTATGAGCCACTGCACCTGGCCTAAATATATTTCTATATTATATTGAATACTTATGATATTTTAGTATATTTAGAATATTTTAGTATATTTAGTACACTATTACTTATACAGGTAAGGCTTTCTAGTTAAGCACTTTCATATCCATCATTTTATTTCAGCCTCAAAGCAACTCTGTAAAGAAGGAATTCAGGTTATTCCAATAATTCTAGAGACTTGCCCAAACTCACAGGTTCGGCAAGTGGTGAAGTTAGCTGTAAAGCCCACATGTGGCCTTGCCAGAGGGCAGCAAATGAAATTTCTGTGGTTGAAGGACTGGCTCTCTGGGCCGGGATGATGACTAAACACAGATTTTAAAAACAAATGTGTATGACAAAAGGTCAGGAGCATCTCGGTTTACTGCAGTACACAACTCCCAAAAGGAAACCCAAACAAATCTCCCTCCTAGCGACAGCATCACACTCCTCCTTTTTTCAGAACTCAGGCTACAAGATGGAGCCATCTCACAATTTCTATTCGGAGTTCTGCATTCAGGGCCCAATCGTGGTCAGCTCTGCAGCAATAAAGCTTTTCAGGAAACGCATGTGGGGAACAGAATGCTCTCATTACTGATGTTTCACTTGCTAATGGTTGGCATTTGACTGGATGGTTGTTACTGCAACACAAGTACAGCTGGTGGAGAATCCTGCTCCATCCCAGCCTGCGGATTTGGGTCAAGGCACATAGAACGTGAGGCTGGGGTCCCAGCCCCGAGCCCTTCCTGGGGCTGGTGGCAGCCTGGGCTCGGCTGTGAACGGCCTGGCTCCTGTTCCGCACTGGGCCTGCCCCATTACTCCCTCTGCTTCTCTAACCACTGCTTTTGCACTCAATTTGGTCCAATCTGCCCCTTTGGGGACACCCTGCTTCCTCCCTCCAGGCGTGGTGAGAACTTGGGGTATTTTGCTTATTTCTGAGCATGTGTGATAACCTCCCTGTTAGGGTCTGGACAGACCGCGTGAGGGTGGAGAGGCGCAGGGAGGCACGCAGCACTGCCGGGGCAGGCAACCCGGAGGTGCGCACTGGAAACCCAGAGATCCAAGTAAATTGCAAAGAATTGCGACACACAAAAAGATTAAGAAAGAAAAGTTTATTTAAAAGTAAACTAAAGAGAGAAAGACAAGGAAGAAAGAAGATTCACCTCTCCAAGGTGGGGGGGGGGGAACCAGAGCCAGGAAGCATGGTGACAGTCATGGCTCCAAGAGCACATGGTCACACCAGACTCTAGCAAGGCAAGGGCCCCTGGTTGCTTGTGGTTGAGTCCTTTTAACCATTCCCCTTGGTGGGGGAAGATCATTAGGGTGATTGGGTGGTGGTCTGCTTCCATGTTATCACAAAGGGGCAGGCAAGCGCAAGTACTGGTGATGTCAGGTGATGGACAGCAGGCAGATGGGTGGGTTAGTCACATGATTGCTGCCATGGTGGGGCTTATCTGTGCCATGTAGTTCACAGAGGGCTGATTAGGTTAACTCGTGGGGGGGGGGGGCGGTGATTCCTGCAAGAGACTTGTTAGACATTTGCAATTCACAAATTCCTTGACCAAAGTTTGGGTTGTCCTGATCTTGTATCTGAAGGAGATTTGCCTAGAGGGGATGGGATAGGCTGCTGTTTGTCCTGCAGTAGAATGTTTGAATACTTTCTAATTGTTATACTGAAGCACAAAGACTAAAGAATAAGCTAAGTTTCTTCTAGGTTTCTATAGGTAGCTTTCTCTCCCTGTTCCCAGCACTGTGAGGGGGTGAAGAGTTGTGGGTGATCACAGACTCACCGTGCCCATGTGCCCACAAGTGCAAAGGCACTTGATAAAACACCACTTGCCAGAGAATACAAAGGCAGTAAAACACACAAACATTACAGCGATTCTGAATATACTTTAATCTTTTTTTGATGATTTAGAAGGCATGAAGTACTTCAGGGTCAGAATTACAAGCATCAATCATCACATGCTACAGTTGCACAGAGGAGCTAGTAAACAGAGAGTGCCAGTTAGAAGAATGCCAAGAAAAAATAATTTACTGGGATCTTAGTCAAGCTGCTTGTGACAGATGGAGGCCCAGGTCAGCATGTTCTGAGGATAGGCTGCAGAATTGGAAAATTCAGCTTGGGCTGTCTTCATTCCAAAACACTTAAGTGTCATCATGTACTATACTTTGGGGACAGAGATAAAGAGGACTCTGTCCCTGCCCTCGAGGAATCTGTAAAGGTGAGACAAACCTGCCAGCATCTCCAAATTCCTTTTCAAGTTCGTCTTCTGTACTAGGGTGATCCTGCTAAAAATGTAAATCTTGTAGCATTCTAAAGTGCCCCAATGGCCGGCATGATAATGGCCAAGCTCTTATGTGTTCTAGCTGTGTCCATTTCATCTCCCACCCGTGTGGATCTTCTGACTCTCCCTACTCTTCTTCCCTTCAAAAGCTCAGTGAGATGTTAGCACTTCCATGAAGGTTTTCTTATTGACCCTCCTGTGCTCTCCTTCTGACTTTCCACATACTTCCATTGAGGCTTGTATCATAGCAGACTGAACTGGCTCACATAGATTTCCATACAATTGTAAGTTTCATGAAGATGGAAGTTGTCTGTTCATCTTTGTGTGCCTGTAGCCTCATACAGTACCTGAAAAATCATGGTGCTCAGTGAAGGTGTGCAGAGCTCAAAGGAGGAGGGAGATGATAGGTAGCAGGGGAAGATTTCAGAGAAGTGGTGATGCCTGAGTCTTCTCTAAGGTGTTACCTGCCTCATGCTGGCCTTCAAACCTGTTTCTGGAACTGCACTGAACGGACAAATGATCATTTGATGTGATCAAAGAGGTAACTTGAAAACTCAAAAGACTAGTCTTGAGGAAGGCATGCTTCAGAATGCTCTGTGTAATTAACTTAAGTGACTACAAAGGACCTCAGGGTTAGCCCTGACAGCTCTCGTGTGGAAGAAAAGCAGCATTCTTTGGTCCTCACAGTACACCTTTCTCAGTTGAGCCTCGGGGGCTTAGCTTTGGCTTCTGGAATGGTCAGTGGAGTGTATTTATTATGCACTGCACTGTGTCAGGAGGTGTGCTGCTCACCACTCACATCTGTCATTGTCTCTGGGCAATCTTGAGGTAGACACAATATGATCCTCATCCTACAGATAATGATGGGAAGCACAGAGATTAAGTCATTTGGCCAAGGTGACACATCCAAGTGGCAGAGCCAGGAAGTCAGAGCCCAGAACCCAGGCTCTCAACCACTACACCCTATCTTAAATCTTCAAAAAATAAAGTGTGTTAATTTTAGCTAACAGCAGGCCATGACTTCAGAGCAGTGCCTCATTCCAAATCCTACTGCAGATAATTTAAGGCAGATACTGTTTCTCATGTTTCTCTTCTCGTCAGTTTCTGCCTCTATGGGTTTGTTTCCAGATGCTGAGCTCCCACAGGACAAGCATTGTGTTCATTCAACTTTGTGGAACACTCAATACACAGACTCTGGCATGTACAGGGTTTGGCAATAGGCTGTTCTATTGTTAGACTTCTGAAACCCTTAGACACAAGTACCTATAAAATGATGTATCAAATAAGAGGTTAATTCTTTTATTTAAACAGAAGATAAGAAAGTGATGATAAGCAGAGGTAGAAGATGAGATAAATACACAGTGGATGGCCAACAAATTTCATAGTAGACAAAGACTAGGCAGATCATGGCTAGAAAAAGGATCTTAGGGGTGGCAGGTGGGGGAGTGGTGAATGGTTTTTGTTTTGTTTTGTTTTGTTTTGTTTGAGTTGGAGTCTCACTCGGTCACCTA